CAAGTGTATCACCCATGCAGTGTTTACAAGTATGTCACCCATGCAGTGTTTACAAGTGTGTCACCCATGCAGTGTTTACAAGTGTGTCACCCATGCAGTGTTTACAAGTGTCACTCATGCAGTGTTTAGAAGTGTGTCACCCATGCAGTGTTTACAAGTGTGTCACCCATGCAGTGTTTACAAGTGTGTCACCCATGCAGTGTTTACAAGTGTGTCACCCATGCAGTGTTTACAAGTGTGTCACCCATGCAGTGTTTACAAGTGTGTCACCCATGCAGTGTTTACAAGTGTGTCACCCATGCAGTGTTTACAAGTGTGTCACCCATGCAGTGTTTACAAGTGTGTCACCCATGCAGTGTTTACAAGTGTGTCACCCATGCAGTGTTTAGAAGTGTGTCACCCATGCAGTGTTTACAAGTGTGTCACCCATGCAGTGTTTACAAGTGTATCACCAATGCAGTGTTTACAAGTGTGTCACCCATGCAGTGTTTACAAGTGTGTCACCCAGTGTTGACAAGATTGTCACCCAGTGTTGACAAGTGTGTCATCAACACTTTTTTTCAGATAGCGTATATACTCACAGTATTGGTGTCTGGATCAAATCTCTCAACACTTTTAAGATAATTATTGCCATCATGTCCCCCTACAGCATACAAGTAACCATCTACTACACCTACACCAACATGTCGACGTCTACAATTCATAGAAGGCACAAATTCTGGGAAACAAACATAGTGAAACTACTGTGAGCTACACTGAAGCTGAAATCTGAGTTCATATTTCATAAGCTGAGTTGATTGATGTATGGAATTAGATGTGGACTAATATACTAACAATATGCAAACTATTGTGTAAATTGTGGAATTAATATGCACAATTTTCAATCAAAAGCAAACCAGGTAACCAGACTATCTCTGAGCACATTATGTATCAAATTCAATTTTGTATGACATCATGGATATCATTACTGAGGTGTGGAAATCAGAGTCTGGTGACGATTTATGGTTCTCAGATTAACACTTCACTCTAAATTAGATTACTCAAGACATAAGTGTAGGTGTATGTAAAATTGTAATAAATATATGATGACTGCTACTGGAGATATTTATGGAACAGACACATAATTAATAAAGGTTCTCATTATATGCTCCACACATAAAGAGGCAAATATTGAAAACAGATAAATGTCATGCAGCAAATCATTAAAGATTGTCATTTGTTGTCAGTGCTTTCCCAACGGTTAAATTCTGGATAAACAATAAAACAAATTTAGCGTAACAATGAATACAATACAAGTCATTAATATATTGTATTGTTATGTAAATTTGTTGATACTTTATACAATTTTTTCTGGGAGAACACTGTTGGTTACTGGTAATTACCATCAATGACGACACTGATTAACTGTGAATATGTACTTACTCCAGTGGTTTGTTTTGGGGTTATACATTTCGACATCATCTAGTACCAGTGTACCTGTATATCCTCCTACTGCGTACAGCATACCGTTGAGTGTGCCGACAGCTACGTAACGTCTTGGTCGAGTCATGGATGAGACATAGCGCCATCTCTTTGTAGCAGGGTCATAACATTCTACACTGCTTAGATACTGTGTACCGTCATGTCCACCTACATAGTGTTAAGTAAATACATATCAGTGACTGTTTTTCAGTCTTGGATAACAAAAAACAGATTTTACTTAAACCTATATACGCAAGCTAATCTAATGGTGAACTGATAGTCACAGTATTTGACAATCCAGTACACAATAAATGCAATTTTGGCTTTTATGTTATGGGCATGTGTAAGGATGCACTTCTGATAAGGCATAGATGCACTTCTCATATAAGGTATATGAACAAATGTTTAAAGGTGTTGAACCCATTTTTTAAATAATACTTGTTCTTAGCTTCCCCCTTTTTAAAAAAAAAATGCACCTTTTTTATATTTAAATGATTTTATGGAACACATTTTATATTAAATGATTTTCTGATTTACACAATGTTATTTTTCCAGATATGATCATCCCACCAAAAAATAGCAAATGTAAATAAAAATAATTATACGATCCTCAAACTCATATATTAGTAATTTTATTGCAATCTACTCACCTACTGCATAAATCTTGCCGTCAATCACAGTAACACCAACTCCACTCCGCGGTGTGTTCATACTGGCTACAATGCTAACTTTACCGCTACTGAAGTCATATCTTTCAACGCAGTTTAAGGAGTAACTTGTGGTGTCCATACCACCTATACAGTAAACCAATCCTGAAATTGAAAACAAAAATAACATAAGAAAATTATTTGTTATTGCAAATTCAATATACATGTAATATGAAATTTGAGTATCGACTGATGTATACTGCAGGTGGTTGTGACCATGGTTACTAAAAAATTTGTAGTATCAGTAACCATGATGTGACCATGTACTGCATATTGTGTAATATCTTCATAACAACCTTATTATTTCATCTTTCTGATCCCACTGCTTAAAGTATGAACTCAAGGACAGAGCTAGACAGTAATAATATATTGAAATATATTTTCAATCATATCCACCATTTTAGAGATACTGTGTAATCATCCAGATTTGAAATTCCTATTTTCTAATAAGGTATGATGCAGATACCCTGAAGTAATAACCCTGATTAATGGTATATTGTAACATGTGGAGATAAGGTAACAGAAGAATAATACTACTATAAATTACGTTGATAACATTCTCCTACAGGTACATTATATTTGATGGATAAACTGCTTTTTCAACTTTTTTTCAATAAAATTCAATACATTGAGAATGCAATAAATCTCATCTGCACGGTTGCAATGATACAGGATAATAATTACCACGCTGTGCAATACTAATTACATTGTATATTAATCTTAATGCATTAAATGTGCAATATGGAGTATTTATGTTCATTTTTGAATTGATATATATTACATGTTGAAATACACACACAGGATTACAAGCACATCTGAGTATGTTAATACTTAATAAAAACAACAGTTTTGACATGTGTTAAAGGAAACATGCAGACAATTGGCTCTTACTGTTTTGTCAGTACTTATCACAAGTTTAAGAAAAACAAAGCTATGCAGTGAAAAGCTTAGCAGGAAAAGCTGCATAAAGTATTTTTATGAGTTATCCATATAACCTTTTTTTAATAACTCTATAATATAAATATCACATTATATAACTTTAAAATCTAGCTGAAGTCTGAATCCCAGTGAAATACTAAGAAACATATTATATTTCCAACCACTCCACAGATTTCATTATCAGCATCTAATAACCATGCAAATAGATGTTCATAGAAAAGTGCTTAACATTTGACCTGCAGTAGTCATTGTGAATAGATATTTATTTTCATCCTTGATGCAAGAATGAAATTTATCTTGCAAGCCATGAGTGGAAGTCTCAATATAGAAAAGCCAGAGAGGTTTTGCATCCAAGTGTTTGGTTTATCAAAGTGTGTGCATGCATGGTAATTGTTTTCCCTCTCAAAGGATATAGCAGATAAATGCATGCATTGAGGTATAAATTTTGAACAATAATAACTCTCGCCCACTGATTGTGATTCAACTTTTGAATTGCAAAAAATCAGTTTAATGCAGCTAAGCTGATTGATGGATTATACAAAACCACACTGATTCAAATAAGTAATCCTCAAATGCAATTAGTAAATTGACTGATATAACATCAAAAATTAAGGCCAGAATTGAGCAGTCAGAATTTCAAGAAGTCAATGACTGATCAGAAGGTTTCATAATAATGCCATCTAGTGGCAAGTAGGAGAGATGTTTCCATACTTCACTGGTATCATTGACATTCCATTTAAGATCCCACAAAAGACAACATGCTACAGAAAAAACGGCCTGTATATGAAATTCACTAATTCACTACACAGTATTCATGTTATTCATGGTAGTGAGTGACAATTAATCCGTAAGTTACCAAGTAATAACACAAGAGTTTAATCTTGAATATATACAAGCAAAAAACGCATTTACATGTTAATTTGAAACGAAACACTATGCAGCTGGTAACAGCAAACTGCAGTTCATATTTCACATACAGCATCAAGTTGAAGAGGAGAAGTTAAGAAGGGGACAGATGGAGTGGTGGGTGAAGAATCTGATTTCAATACAACCTTTGTTAAAGAGAAAACACAAGGTTAATGGGTATCCTATAATTAGCTGATTGAAATGTTGTGATACTATTTGAAATCCTGCAAGAAACATGAACCCACATGATATCCAAAGTAAGTATCAGTAACAAAATGTTGTCTCAAGGCTGAATTATTAAAGTCCACTATTTACTTTACACCAGTAATTGCTTTTAGCTATTTAAAAAAACAAACACTTAGTTTTAATTTTGTAGTGTTTTGTGGTATAATGTGTTACAAGCAGACTTATTTTTAATTGTAAACAGTTTTTTAGTAGCATTTGCCACAAATTAGACTGCTGGTGTGATCTATTATGTATGCTACACACATAATTCTAATTCAAACAAGGGCTTGTGGATGGTTTTCAACTGACATTTTGTGCTTAATTGTTATTTACATATCCATGAATTAAGTGTACACTACATTTATGGGTAATCTGAAATTAAAACACTGGTTAATTTCTCTAGCGAGATTTTGATTTATTTTTAATAATTTAACAATAGTAATTTAATAATTTGCAGTGTACATATATAATTGTGATAAACTAAGGTCAGTTGTACATTCTGGGCATGCACCAGAAGCAATTGTCTGTTGCCTGCTGCTTAGCACAGAGACTGTGATTTAAATTAGTATGATCATAGACTTATGTCACATCACCCTTGTGATACAACCTTTGACATTATGACCTTAGTGTCTGCAATATTACTTACTACAAAGGATTGGAGTATAACTGCAGGGGGATTCATTGAGAGGCGACAGGCGTCAAAATAATGGTCTACTTGTGGTGACTGCATGGCCACCTACTTGAGTCACATGCTTACCACCCACATCATGTGAAACAAATCTAGCCAACCACTCCATAAAAAAGTTAGAGTTACCCTCCTGAACCAAAAAAAAACCCATGTATGTGTTAGGTAAAACTAAATCAATATAGTATAAGATGACAGATACTTGTAGCATGCTAGCCCATATTCTATCCTTCTTACAGAAAACATAGAAATTAATAAATTTGTAATCAATATAACCAGCTAATTGCTATATTATTATTAGTTTATTGAACACAGATAAAGGCTAACACCCTGATCTGTGATATTCATGGTTGACACTGCATTTTAAGTTTTTCATTAGATTATACCGGTAATAAATCCCACTGTAAAATTACACATAAATCAAATTTCCTCAATTCATTTTCAAAGAATGCACTTTTAATGTGTATGTGTCTGTGTGCACAAAGTAGTGCAGGTAGGTGTATCACCTGTAAACTTGGTGGGGTGTATGTTCCACATACTCACATTTTCATTTGTGGATTTAAGCCTGCACTTTGGAATCAACCTCCAGGGCCACTAAATGCATATTGATATAGCACTTGCCTGGATGCAACAGCTAAAAAATAAACTTTGTTTAGACATGTGGGTTTAAAAAAACAACACTTAGAATTTTAGGACATTTTTAGCCTGATTTTGACCATTAGCCTAAGAAACTAGAATGTAAAAGCAACACCTACAATTAGGATAGATGTACTGTGTAAATGTGAATAAAATAATTTACCTACTTGTCATAGCAATTTTACTATCAACTAAATGTACATAGACAAATACTCAAAGATGGCTTGCAGTGCACAGCCTCAGGTTTTGAAGTCCATATACTGATTGATAGTATAAAATGAATGCTTATTTATTTTGTTATAATTAGATGTCAGCTACAGAAATTTATATTGCATACCAGGTAGATTTTAATTACAGAATATTTTTCAAAAATAATACGATTTCTCTGAAATGATTAACAATGTAGAAGGCTATGACTGATACGAATATTATTTGAACCATTTCATTATGTGAACAACAATGATTACTGATCTATGTCTTCATGATTGATGCATTAAGTTCATCCTGGTGCATTGTGATACAGATTTATTATTATTAATGCAGTGACTTTTAATTTGTTCTTGTGAAGTTCTTTTGAAGAAGTATCTTGTAATGTGAAATAAAAATCATAACGAGGGCATTCAGCAGATTAGTAAGAGGGGTCAGTGATCTTTCTTATATGTGCAATGAGATTATTCACTGAAGTAATTAACGGAAATACCCTAAAAGTAATTATGTCTCTGTCATGACATAACCAGAGGGCAATCACTAACATCACTCAGCTAGCATGAAGCAGAGTGAGCCAAATTGAGAAACAGAGAGTCAATGACAAACAGTAAATTATAAAGAATTTGATTTTATTGGTATGTAAGAAATACAATATAAAAGGGCATAGGTTTTACAGTCTGGATTCCGTGCATGGCAAGGATTCATTATTAAAACTTAAAAGCACTATGAGTAGACTACTATTCCAATCATTTCATATATTTGATATGCAGGAAGAACCTGTCTAAGGTTATTGGTCCCTACAGAATCCTTCTCAGCCATGTTGTGAAATCGTTAAATTACAATAATTCTTCTATGAATTATTAGGTTAATTGTCAAACGAAGCAGTCAATCAGATGCTTTCATGGGTTTTAACATATTGTTAAACAATTGTCTGGCAGTGTTACATGTCAATGACTGTACATACACTGAACCCACAATTCAAGATGATTAAAATGTTTTATACAAAGCAGCGCGTGTTCGGATTTCATGTAAATAAACAATGTATTTTACACGCGTTGTATACGTCGCTATGAGTCCCATATCGAACAGGACGCGACGCGACATTGAACCGCTGAAACAGGATGTGTCATAGGCTATGCAAGTGATTAACACCACTCATTAGCATAGCCACACCTCCAATTCACACTTACCCTGGGCAAGTGAATTGGGTCTTTAAGCCCAACAGAGACCATTATCTATGACACACATGACACAACTGTCACAATCATAGCAAAATTGTACTATGGCCACAACTCTCTGACTGATTGGTGCACTCTCACATAGTGACATGACTGGCAGTGCAGACAACCCAAAGCAACAGAACCTGACAGGATATAACCAAACACACTTTTGACAGGTTCCACTGAACATGATTGATAGTCAGTGTTGACAGGACAATTTTTTTATGCATTAATTAGAGACATGAACAAAAGACAGTTTTCATCATTTTGAGAAAATTTAAGTTATACTGTAGAATACTTTATTTTCGCTTGGAATTTATTATCGCTATTTTCGCTGAAGGGGTGATTCCGCGAAAATAAAATCCAGCGAATATACTTTTATTCCTATATTTCACATTAAACTCATCAAAAATCAGTGAAAATAAATTCCATATAAAACGCCCAAAAATAAAGTATTTTACAGTACATGTATAATTAGATGCGTTAGTAACTGTGGACCTTAGTAACTGTGCCAATACACAGCCAGGAAGGATTAAGAAGCCCTAAGGCATAATACAATACAGATGTACGTGGCACACAAGAAGTAGATCTTCTAAGCCAATTTGCTGCATCGCTGATTCACTGCGACTTATTGTGGACTTAACAATATCTTCAACTTAAATCTATATAGCTTTATGGCTCCTATCACATCACTCTTGCAGATTAGTCAATAGGAACTTGATCGATTGTATATACTTGCAGTTTGTTGATTATGAAAGCAGATGACACGTGTTATTTTCGCAAGAGACAATTAGTTGCGTATACACAAGTCAGAGAAAGATACTATTTCCAGATAAAATATGATGCAATACAATAAGATTAAAAGAAAAAAATTATCAACCATTACAAACTTACCTACTGTGGATTTCCTAGGTTTCACCTTTTCTCGCATGAACTTTGACCTCCTATCAGGCAGCATGTGATAATTCTTGGCTTCGTCAAGAAGATCCCGACACTTAATGTCCTGTTTTATAAGTTCCTCCGCTTCCACAGTGTCCACAAGAAAATTGGGCGAAAGAAGCGGAAGACGTATCCTCTGTAAAAGGTCAGCAATGTCATCTTTGCGCAGTTCTTTGTCATGATAAGCCCACCGCATTATTGCATTGTACACTTCCTCTTCACAGTTCACATTTAACTCCTCACTGGAAATTAAATCTATGAGTTGTTGCTTCGGCAACAGTAGGAATTCCTCCTCTTTCACCACTTCACTGAAGTGCTTCTGAGCATATCTCTCTGAGGCTATAACTAAATCCATGCAAGTGTGCAAGTCGGCAAAATTACGAATTCCTAGTCAGAAAAAAAAAAGCTATAATTTCAAAAGGAGATATGATTATGAACTGAAATGATTTCAGAAAATAATGAAGCTGCTAAAATACTGTAAAACCATTTCTCACTGGCATTTAATTTCACCATTTTGATGTTTTGAGCCATGAACTTGACAGGGCAATGATGAGTTCTATTGTTATGTTCATATGGATTTAATTTAGAAAATTTTACCTTTTGGCAAAAATAAAAACCAGCCAAAAATTAATGTGTTTACACTATTGAATATCTACTACACTAACATCAATAATTCACAAACAGATATAATTTTGTTCTATTTTTGTGTTATAATGAGCTCCTTTCAAAGTAGCTGGATAACGAATAAATGTTATCACATTAGAAACTTATCGCATATAAACCACACATGTGTTTTGTACATGTACATGTATGTCTAAATTCTTAGTTAATTGCAGGCACACATACTACCCGGTATTAAAAGTGTGAACAAAATGACATTTAATTTTCAAAATCTGGCACAAATTGAAAATACTAGTATTTATAGAACATCATGTATATTTCAACAAAACAAAGTGATGATATCACTGCTGATCAAAGACAGTCATGTCAACAGGGCCACTGTAGCTGTCTTTTGCACTAGACAAACCTAATAGCTATTAAATGACCCAATACATGATCTAAAATGCACATCTGATTTAATGTACATCCTGCAAAGCTTCTCATATTTCTCCTCCTGCTTTTCCCATTTACCTAGCACAGAATGCCTGAACACAATGTGGAAACATGAATAACATCTCTGCAGGAGCCCTATAGATGTATTCACATTAATGTTTTTCTCAGTAATACAGATTACTAAGCAGTTTGGCTCACAAAGCCAAAATCCTTCTATGTAATCGAAAACCAAGCTTGATATGAAAAAACAGATCTAATCCTTATCATATCGAAACTATTCATTAAAAATTCATCTTCAAGTTTCAAAATTTAGTTCGCCATTATTTTTGCCCATTCCCTGAGGGCACGTTGTCTAAATAATTGCAATACTGATATATCTTGAATATATTGAACACCCGAGGACCATTTGCTATGAATTTAATACTGATATCTGGAGTATTTAATCTATTTGGAAGATTGATTTCTGCTAAAATTAGTAAGATTGAAAATTAACATATCAAATTTTGTAATATACTATAATGCACAGATTGGATTTCGCTATGCAGTGAGCACAGTCTAGGATGTGTAGTTTTTCACTGTCATGTACCAAATCATTAATCAAATTAAAGGCAGCTGAGATTCAAATACTGAAGAATATATATCACGTCAAATCATATTGGTCACCTTTACTAATTTGGATAATGTTATACCAGTAAATGACATAGATTGCCAAAATGATGCTACAATTAATTGAATCAGAAAAGAAACAGAACTATGCGCATAACTTAAATTCAATATTACATGATTGAGACTAGTTTTTGAGACCAAAATAGTTTTGGAATTCACTGAAAAATGCACAGACTAATCATGCTTGTCTTTGAAATAACTTGGATAATGCATATATACCTATTTATACAAAATAGGGCACATGCATTTTTGAAAATCCATTTGGAATTTTTATCATGAAATATAATGCATTTAACATATACCATATAATGTTTAAAATGTTTGAGTTTACAGGACGATCACTGATTTTTTTGTGAAAGTATGTTTATATATATTTATAATTTTGGAGGAATTCACAGGCACATTATTATGACAACTGCATATTAAATCACTGGTTTTGAATAAGCCAGGAAGGAAGATACACATACTGCACATAATTTAAGATAACATACTGCTTTAAATAAACAATTAAAGACTGAATGAGAGCAAAAAGACTGCAGTGCTTCACTGATATTGTAAACATGCATGTACAAATATTTAACTTTGCATGCAAATAATTTCTGACACCTACAATCTGTCATTCATAAGGAAATAGGATAATCATTTATTTATTTAGTCACCAAGCTAATGAAACCAATACCAAAATTAATAAATAGATAACTAACGATTTCCATGACACTGTATACAATAATCTATCCACGCATTCACTGTTGATTTATCAAGTTATTGCTGATGACATAGTCCCTGTTGGATGTATCAATTTTTAAAATATTATTACTATTATTATAGGTCTTGACACAATACCATTAATAGAATACATTTTCCCATTTGTTACAGTTGTTAAAAAAAAAGAAAAAATATGTGTATACTTTGTGAATTGTGCTAAAAGTTGACTTTGGCATTTGAAAAGTTATTAGACAACCAACACAACAGAATTTTTATAAAAGTCCATACACAATAGACACAATTCAATATAAGTCAAACAAAACTAATATTTAACTTAAAGTAAAGATATAATTGTATAGAAAATGGGAAAAAAACAATTAATTTTCACATAAATTTCATACTTAATAGAACCAATTTCTATAGAATTTTATTAGACTTATACAAACACATGTAGAACATTTTACTTTAATAGGGGAAATACTGACTTCTCTCCAAATACTCCTAAGTTAATACTGACATTTTGGGCAAGAGAATTCAAATCCTATAACTACATTCTTTGACAGGATTTCAGTACACTCATCATGATTCAGAAACATGAACAGATTTCTTTATAATTTAACCACCTGCTGCAGCATTCACTCACCTACTTCATTTTCACTTAAAAAATATTTGTAGTGCTTTTGTGATTTTTCTTTTACAGTAATTGTTAATTTTTCATTCAGCCATTCCAATCATTGTCAGCATTGAAAGCTATACAGTCTATTATTTGGAAACATCAGTACAGTATGTTTAGCAGGTTTGTAATTTACCTAACAATAATAAATTCTCTACAACACTATTGGATGTAGGGTCAATATGCTGGACAGTATATATGCAAGCCACATGTGTGCATTGTTGATCTGGAGAGTTACCAACTAATTTGTTTTTTATGATCTATGCGGAGATGTTGTAAATGACACACTTAGTTGTCCAAATAATTTCAATTTATTATCAGAATAAAGTAGCTTTACTTTGTTTATATTAATATGCATTAAATTCACATTATTCATCAGTCAATTCGAAATTCAGAATATTATGCAGTTTCAGGACCAATGGAACACAGAACATGAATTTGTACTTTATTGTCTGCTAGTGTAATGCTGTGTCAAGTCATTCTCTCAATATTTTTTTTCAATTAATAAAATTACATATAGGTATTTTAATTGTCACTTATATTTATGATCATTCATTTTTTAATTACATGTGTATATATTTAATTAATTACTAATAATAATAACATTTAGTTACATCATGTATAGTGTAATTATGCCTTGGAAAAAATTGTAATTGTTATATTATAAGAATTAATTTTCAATCTACCCTGTGAAAATAAACATAATATTCATGAACTAATTATAAGAATGGATATTATCAGCAGCAACTTGGTTAAAGTATCTAATTTGAACATGGGTGTGAAAGTACTGCTGGTAAGGTTACTGATAAAGACACAGAAGTGAAGACTGATTCATTAGTAATGGGTGTAAAAAAGGAGGCAATTAAGGGGCAGTATAAATTAAGCTATTTTATGAATTGGGACCAAGCTTAGTAGCCGTGTCAAGACAATTATTACAATTACTGAACACTTATCATGGTTTAGTGTGTCAAAATTCAAGAAAAAAAAACATGAAGTGGTCATCCGTATACAGAAGATAATGTTTTAAGAGATTAACCATATTCTAAATGACAAACATTCACTTACACCCAGATATAACATTTTAATGTTGGAGAAGCATTATTATAGATGGAGGGACTTATTGAAAAGTTCTATTCACAGAGAACTAACACATATATACTCTCAAGCAAAAATCCTGGCATAATTATAGAACTTGCCAATTATATTTCAACAACAAAAAAAATTATTTAATATTTAAAAACTAGTTACATTCTTTTGTTTTTTTGTACAATATTTTTACATATATCTTGTAATTATTAACTCTTTTTGCTGTACTTATCATATTATAAATCTTTTAGACGGAGGCAATAAATGTATTATTATTATTATTATTCATAATGTATTTGGTGTGAAATACCTTAAAATGGTTATGGTAAAAAGTCAGTTACTAAATGAGAAATTTTCATAGAAGCCTTAAAAACAGAATTTTGTAATTAGTTTTAGATCCTAATCCAATGTAAGCCAGTAAAAGTAATGTTTTTAGTATATAGCATGCATGAGACTGGACTGGAAATCAACTTTATAATTAGAATGCAATTTTGTGATTTGCAATACTAGTATCCCAATCCTAGGTACAGAGTGCAATTAAACTGTCATGAAAAATTGCTTGTGATGTTTACAGAGCATGTTATATTTAACCCGTCCTCCAATCACACACATATAAAAAAAACGTGTTACTTTCGTAAGTATTTGCAACATTTAGAGATGGTCCCTAAAGTGATCATGTGTTATTGTTAATGTTATTTAAAAATGAAAATGTAGTGTACTAGCAGTACACACATACCGATATATGATATAGGCTCAAACTCAGTAAAGTTCATAGTCATGAACATATAATATGTCATAAATTACCATATTTACATGTACGACTTGAACTACACAGAGATAATGAGGCAACTGCCTTTATAATACCCTTGGTGCCCTTTGGAAAATACAAATAGGCAATATTGTTGAATTGGCCTTACAACTGGTTGCCCCATAGTATAGGTCATGCTCCTGCACTTATTAAAATAAATTGGAATTTTGATACATTCTTGGCATTAAAATATATTTATGTTATTTAATATTTTTATGATTAATCCTCAGTTATCTAAACTTTTCTTTTTTACATTCTAAAGAAATAAACATAACAGCATCCATGTTTAGGGTTAAGGTAATGTTATTGTAAATTGATAAAATCACAAAATATGCCCAAATAAGGACAAGTGTTATATTTTTAAGCTAACTCAAGCTCAAAGACACATTATTCAGATTAAAATGCGGTGGTCGCCGGGCCGCGTTCTGTTCCATATGGGACTCTTAGCGACGTACACAAAAAATGTAAAATACATTGTTTGTTGACATGAAATTTGAATATGCACTGCATGATGACCATCAATGAGCAGCAAATATACTTATATTTATATTTCATTGACAACAAAAGATGTCCAATTATTTTGCCAGGACCATAAGCATGTTAAGATATGTTAAGATTTGTTCTACAAACCATAAATCACTACATAAACATGGTGACACCCACTGAGATGCCAAGTTTAAATCAACATTCTAAACATATTCAATTAACCTCCAGTAAAATGACAGCTGACATAAAGGGTATTTTATCCAACAAAAAAAATCCATTTCTTATTAAACACAGCTTAGCTGTTAACACCTTTTCTACCTGTCTAATACTATGATTTATTTCCTTTCTGACAACCCCCGGGGGATGAACATTCGAGTGATTGACTCTGAACCTGAATAGACTATAGAACGTTACCTTGAGTTAAAAAGCAGACAAAGGTCACTGTGACCCAGGGACTGCTTTGATGCCAATTAATCAATTGAAAAACTCCTGCAGGGGTTTCTATTATTTGGTTTTTGCATGACTTTAATCGGATTATTCAATTTCGCTGGCATGGTAATGTGACAACTGTGTCACATTTCTTTTTAAATTGAGGTTATTTTGAATTAGTTTTTAGTATTTACGTTGACTGATGTGATCACGACTAATTCCTACTCAGATTGGCAAAATGTATTGTGGGTGAATTGTGGTACCCTGTATAAAGTGCGTAATATATCAAAGTGCCACCTACTACATCAAATAAGGCAAGTACTTGATTGCTAACAAACATGCTGAATCTGTATTTTTCTTTGACACTTTTAATTTGTGAGTTTGCAATTGAAAGTACCGGTGCATTTCTACTATAAATGGAAGATTTAAAGGCTATGTTCTGTAGTTGGTAACCTAATGGTACACTTGACTACGTGTAAAAATAATTTTATAGGTAGTAAAAATCAAAAATTACACAAGTGAGTGATGCTGTCAGACAGACAATTGTGACTGTTGGTGTACATTGAAGCCACATTGTACATGAGAAGCTGTTGATGACATAACTGCAGCACATATATTTCCCAATGAAAATTTTATAGTACAAGCTTGCTGATTTCTTTCGATTCAGAATAAGTGTTGGGAAATGACTGTCAAAATATTTTTTATCATTTTTCTACATGTACATATATAGGAAACCAGAATTGTCATCAATGTACTGATTTCAGATACTGTTTTTTAATGTTGATTGATCAATTTTATTTTTAAATGAGTGACCTGTGGAATGAAACAGCATCGCTGTCATATTAGTTTACAATTAAATAGTTTTCCATTAGCTGGTGATAATATCAAAAATAGAGAATTGAAGACATTGTCATGAAAACAGGATTAATAAATAATTCCAATTGAGGTCCTGCCAAGCTATACCTATCAAGTATTGAAGCCTAGATATTACCAAAATATTCACTGAAAATAAAGAATTGATGATATCATCATGAAAATGTACCAAGGTACCTACATACCATATTATATGGAAACAATTTAAATAGCAGCTTTCCATAAGTAGTATCATTTAATGAACATTGATAAGCCTGACAACCACTGACAGTTAGTCTATTAACTATTAGCTCTGCATCAGTAAACAGCAAAGCTAATTTTATATTCAATATCTAGATTTATTCATTCATTCATTAGATTCAGTCAGTTCCACTTGAGGAGCGACACATTCTTGTCACTAGTGTCATGAAAACAAACACAAGAGGTGATATTTATCAAAATTGCCAACAACTGAGCCCAATGGAACTACATGGTGACAAACAATTCAAGAAACAGTCACGTCTCCCTGTGTGTTCTAACAATCAACATTTCACCCCACATGTCCACTGCTCAGAAACCTGCACTGACCAACCACATGACTATCTGTATATATACATGTATATGCATTCAATTGGGACCTGATAGTGACAAAGACAACAATTCAAGTAAGAGTCACATCTTCCAGTGCTCTTTTACAATCAACATTACACAGTCAAGTCACACTTTATGTAGGTTTCACTTTGACAAGCAAGCTATCACAGCATCTATCACAGAATCTATCTCAATGATATCTAACGTCACGAGGCTTGTCTTCTCCTTAGGCGCTACTCCACAACCATCTTTAAAGCTTGCAGTTTCAAGATTGACTGTGTTTTATCTTCTACATGTTTTTTTTTTTTTTATTCTAAACACATATACTATTAGTTCTCCATGGGAGATATCCATTATTTTCGCCATTACCTTATCAATTTTAATGGGTTGCCCTCAGGGTAACTTCAGTTATATAGTTACTCTGTTGCTTTTACACAATACAAGCCATTATGCATGTACTTACTTCCTTTCTAATGGTTGTAAACATGATAGAACTGTGTGCTGAAAGCCACTTTAAAAGTTTTCTCAGTTACATACTTCACATACATTTAAGACAAAGGTTTAGAAGTCCCTGACCAGCAGGAAAATACAATCATCAGTGAGTAAATACAGGGTTCATCTTATGGGAATGTAGTTTTTAAAATTTTACAATTTGGTCAATAACTGATTGGTTCACTCAAAAATTATATAAAAAGACATTCTAAACCTTCAAAAATACCTGTAATATTATTTGCCTTTACATATTTTAAACCTTCTTTTTACAATGTATTTTCCAATAAATAATTTCTGTCAATTATAATTTTTCATGAATTTTGTGGGTTTTGCAGTAGTGAAAATGTTGTCATCATAACTTACCTAAGCAGTTTGTTGGATCCAACTGTCTTTTCAAAAAGCCTGAACAGGACACTTGTACATCCGGTAGCTGTAATAATGATGCTGCATATAGTATCTGTTGAACGGTCTCTACACGAATCTCAATACGTCCTAAAAAAACAAAATTAATATCTTACCATCAGATGTCTTATGTAATGTATCACAGGCATAACATACTTATTCAGTCACCTTAATACACTATTCCTATAAATCGTGCCTTCTAGTGACACTGAGTGTTTCTGTGACATCAACATGACATACATGTGTATATGGGTGAAGGCAATGTCATTCAAATCAACCACTGAGTTTGGGTTCGTCATCTAATATAAAGTAAAATGCATAATCTTCATTGATGCAGAAGCAGATTGATACAGATCAAATAAATATCAACATTTTGAATGGCCATTGCACAAATAGCGACATATGTTTTTTTTTTATTCTGCATTATAATATAATTTCCACAGTCAGCAAATGACTATTTCATTTTTTCATAGTTTCATTTCACCAGACATTCGTGATTAGCACCAGGGAGTAAATATATATATATAGCATCAATTTTCCACCATGGCTTAAATTGATGGTGATGATAATCACTATTGACTTCAGACCGAGTGAAAAATATCATGTGGTTACAAACATGTATGTATAAATATCACCAATAATCTTCAACAAACTATCGTTTTATCATTCCGTACAGTAAGATTACATCTGTAATAGTGTAATCATACACTATCATACAATCCAATGGTATTATTTCTTAGTTTGACTGCCAGACTACTAGTAGGTGGCAACAGCCAATATCACACTTATAGATTGGTTTTCAACACTCATGATATTTACTTGCGCATGTTGACGTCAAACTAAGAGAGAATACTGCAGGGTGAAGACACATCACAAGAGTGGTGGCAAAACTTGTCTATTGTGGAGTTGCACATGTAATAGTACAAATTGCTGATTAGTTCATAAAAAGTGCACAAAAAACTCAGCATACTCAAATTATTAATTGAAACTAATTTAAATGATCACTGTGATGTGTGACAATAACATGTACACAAGAAGCTGAGAAGCCAGTGCATGAAAAGATCTTTACCTGTATATGCATATTCTACAAGTAGTTCCATGGCATGGGCGTCTACCTCCTTCATTACAATACTATCTTGCTGTGACTCAGCCATATCCCCTGTAAACATGGCCCAGAAATAACTACTGCACGATGCTAATACAATCTTGTGTGCTCGGAAAGTCTTATCACCCACGCAAATCGTCACATCACAGAGCGTTTCTGATTTCCGTAAATCATTCATCAAATTCAGCGACTTTAGGCCAAATCTTCTATCGGCTTCGTGTACAATGACATCTGGCTCAGCCTGCTCAACGTTATCGAAGTCAAAATCCATTGTGTTGTTGCAAGGTGGTAGAAAGATATCTTGATTTTGCTGAATTTGTATGTTCTGTATATAAGGATTGTTGACTCTCAATTGCTGGCCATTAGGGCGTCTACCAAATAATCTCCTCAACATTAAGTTGTCATCAACTCTCAATCTGTATACCTAGCATCTGTGATGAAGAAAGGACAGAAAAATGTGAGGTGAAAACTCAATTGGTAATCAACACTAATTGATTAAGTGACAAATAAATTATTGATGACATGAAGAGTTGATGAGCAAGGGTTTAATAGACACAATTTTATGCACTGATGAATATTTATGACACAAACTAGCAAATACTTTTCAGAATTTTTTGCTTCAATATATAGCAATTTTTAAAACTTGACAACATGTTTTCTCTACCTCCTGTATATTAACTGAAATGCAATTATCTTGGACAGATTTGAAATACCTCATAGTAAAACATGTACCAGTACTTATATATTAGTATTCAATACATTGTAATTTTAATAGCATCTTAATAGGCAGTGGTCTTCGTGCCACGCATGTGCAAAACTGTTTTCAAATTGATAAACAGTGACTTCTCCACAATTCAATGTGCTCTTCAGTGCCAAGCAAGAATGCATATTTCGACTTTATTGTGATGTACACTGAATACTGACTTTGACTCTTTAAAGTCCTTTCATGCATTCCAATCATCCCCCGAATCAACTAATTAAACCTTGGTAGCGTGGCTTTTTTTTGGTATACATTGACCTGCATAACAAGCATAGCCGTATTTTTGTTAATATGGGAACTACATCTTGTGCATGTGTGGCACAATGACCACCAGCCTTTAAGTGAATAGGATTCAACAATTCTATGGTAATTCCACAATGAATATAACTACTACATCCGTGCAAATAATATGATCAAGAAAATATAATCAAGAACAATTAAAAATAACATCTCAGTATACTTCAGTGATATGCAAATATTACATATCAAGGAACTGATGACTCAGATACATGTTATTAATTTTTTTTATTATTTGACAGTGACACCTGTCATGAACAATAACACATTCTCACTAATGGTATACACATTGAATATGTCAATTATGAAAATCAATAGTTTGGATGCTGTCACCTTTGTACAGAGTATATATAGTCACCACTGTTATCAAAACACATACATGTTGTAAACATTATCATCTGTTGTTCATTGTATTCTATGGAACTGTTATCAATTTACTTTATGGACGTGTTTTTTCCCATTAAATTGCGATCTGCAAAAAAATTTACTTGAAAATCAACCAAGAATTATAATTAAATTTGTGTTGATTTGTGGAAATGGCTAATCAGCAGAAATGTGAAAATAATTTGTATTTATAACTCTCAAAGGGTTTTTCCTTAAGGCAGGCCACTGATTGGAGATGTACAGAGTTGTAGCTATCTACTAGGGCTGCCCACTTACAAATATTTAGGTGCATAGATATATGTGTAGTAAAGTAATGTTTATAAGCCTCCTATATTGGGTACGCTCCACATATAGGGAACATGATACAGTCAGTGCAGTGAAATGTCTAAAACACATTTTGATAACAAATTGTTAGTTTTCATAACAGTTCTCATCCCCCCAAAAATAAATTATACAAATCAACACTAAGACTGAGTGTAAAATTGAAATATTCAAATACAAGTATACCTACTTAGCTTAGATATCAGATTGATTAACAGGATTTAGTTGTAACATATTGCAGCATATGTAGACAAATACACAAACCAAAATACAGTGCTGTCTGCATAACAACCAGACTGGCTGTAATTCTGTATCTACTTTACTCTGACACTCACTTGTATGCAAAGTGACACTGTGACACAAATTTCTCTACAATATATTGTGTTGAGCAACATGACTGTGACACGCCTATGGTTTATCAATGTCCAAACAGATAATGTAGTCACAGTTGTCAAGAACCTTTGAATATTGGTTTCATTGAATCCCCATTACTGTATTCTTTCTATTTAAATGCATAGTGTATTTTAGCATATACATGTACATGGTAGATTACTTTAATTGGTGCCTGCCAGTTTATATTTCATTACCCCCTTTAAAACTTGTCAGCCTACCAGGTTGATCCACTCTTGGGGGGTAAAAGAGGGTTCATATACATGAATCATACATGTAGCTGTTCTCTAGCATAAAAAGACACACTTTTTAAAAAGATACCTTTTATCAAAAAGTAAGAAGATTTTAAACATTGCAATTAAGAATACTAATATTATTTTCTCTATTAGAAGTACATCTCCAATAAAAGAGCAAATAAGTCTTATTTTTACCATATACAAACACACCTTTGCATGATAGACCATTTTCCATTCACTGTGAGATCCTGCGATACGGGCGAAAATCACACATAAAAACAGAACAAGCAAAGGTCACACCCTTGTAGTGACATTAAAACACCACATGGAATTTAATTTAAGTAGTTTGAAAGTATTTCCACACCTAATCATATGCTACACACATTTGAGTATGGTCAATTTTGATTAATAAATATGGATATTTTAACACCACAGTCCAGCCCCAATGAAAAAAAAAAGTTCAAAATCTAATAATTGTTTGGCAGAAATTCAATTCGCACATTTCTTGCAGTGAGCAGAATATGGTCTATTGTATATGTGTCACAAGTAATTACGGTATGCTTTTTATTGACTTTGTTAGGGTTCAGTAAACAAAACACCCCTACTTTTACTATTTTGTAGTCTGAGTTGAATACCGTAGTATATATGCCTCCCCTTTTTTTAACATTTCTACAAATGAGCACACAAGCACGACTGGTGTCACCTTGAGTACCAGAACCAGACTTATGGTCACTAAATGTTGTAACTCTTCCATAATGTAATACCCTTTTTAATGCTCAGTATATTCCATCTTAATCCAAAATCAAACACCAAATTAAAACTTATTAATTGTAAGTGTACAGGTAATGAATTAAAGGCAAACATGTTGATGAGAGGTGTTGTACAGTCAATGCTAGAATAATGATCATCTGACTCATATTTGACCAAGTTTATACTGTCAGAACTTGCTCTCATGTACAGTAGCAGTCATACTGCAATAATTACAGAACACACATTTTATACACTAGTAGCTACTTCCTCAAAATACATTGCAAAAGTTAATCCAAGTCAGGCATATGCTTCTCATTCAAAACATGGTACCACAATCAAATCATCTGTTTCTACAAAAACAAACAGAGTTTAACAACAGCCTAGATAAAGCATGGGCTGAACCAGTAGTATTTAAAGGCCTGAAAATAGGCTGTGACCAAGGTTAATATGTCAATGGCAGTTTATACATACTTTGTACTGTGTTCATGGATGGAATGAGTAACTATAGAGAAAATAGCTCACAGGTGGCAGAAAAACTGATCAAAATTTGCAATAATAAACACTAGTAGTAAACTGTCAGTCTCCATCAAGTTTGAAGCACACATTTAGATGCAGCTTCTTCAGCCACTCACCAATAAATAATTGTAGAGCTCTTAATGACCAGTAGACAATCAGTAACAATTTATTGTAATATTCAATTAGTCCATAGAAAGGCCAGTAATAAATGGTTGTAGTTTTAAACCAGTCATTAGCCCAACAACTATTGGTTATTATTAAATAGGGCCAACATAATGTCCAATTAAAAACTACATGTATATCTGTAGTTTCAATGGCAACCAATGGCCAATCAGAAGCTATATTCAAATTTTAATGACTGGCTACTATACAATGAGTAACCTAATGTCAAACTAAAAAAAAAAACGTTTCTCATTGGCAACCAACTTTCCAATCAGAATCTACATGTACATACAGTAATCAATGGATTGGTGAAATGTAATAGTTGATTGGTCAGTGGTTTGTTCAATAATCAAAAAGTGACTGCACACATCCAAAATTAGTTCAAATGAATGCACAATCTTTTAACAGTGAATGCTAACTGCATTGATCATTTCAACCAGAAAATACTAACAGATTTACAGAGTATAACAAATTTGGCGAACACGCAAAAAACACAACTAGAGACAGCCCTCTTAGTGTCCTTCATTCTTAAATAAATTAGTGATGAAAGCTGGCTGATGAAAGTTGGACAATTTAGAGTCATGTACAGGGGTTGGTTTGCTAGGAGGATTCATGGGAACAAATGAATATTAAATTTATTCACAATGAACTTGCATATATGGTACATGAGGTATGTCAGATGCTAAAATTAGAAAAAAAATATACCCCTTCTTAGTACAAATGGTCCACCACAATAACAAATAATGAAACTGTGGACAGACTAGTGTAGTGATTGGGTGATTGCCTTATTGGTTGGTATATTTTTCTCCTTAAGGGAGAATATCCTAGACGGTTGGAAATTTCATGGCAATTATATCTCACTATCAACGGACTGAGAAATTGACATGCTTGGTTTATTTTCCATGCAAATATAGAATGTCAAGTTTGAATTTACCATCTCTAATTGAAATGGTCAGACCACCCATACTTGGAACTGGGACACTCAGGAACTGCTGTGTGTTGGTAGCTACCCTAGTTGGATGTTGTATACAGCCAATTAGATATTTCAAGTAGGTATAAAGGTTCACAGCCATACAAGATTATCATATTATAATACACCAATGTCCTTATTTGGATTGTGTGTTGTGTCTTGGCCCCAAACCTGTATATTGTTTAGATAATAAATCAATTATCAAATGAACATGTACAATTTGGGTGCTCAGAAAAGTGAGAAGTAAAACTAAAACATAATAATCAGAATGAACTGAAAAAAGTTTGTTATTGAAAAACTTCAAATGAAGAATGTGTCAATGTCAAAAAAATTTTCACAATTTTCTCAGCATAGATTATTGCTCACAATATTGCTTAAATACATCCAGCTATCAGAAATTCATTGTAGTTATAATAAGTATCAAAGTTTCACAAATTGCAGGTATGGGAGCAGATGGGAATTTATAGTTATTACTGAAGACAACT